AGGTCACGATCCCAGGGTCCTGGGATCGAGCCCCACATCTGGCTCTTTGTTCGGTGGGGAGCCTGCTTCTGCCGCTCCCTGCTTGTGCTCTCTTTCTCTCTCTGTCAAATAAATAAATAAAATCTTTAAAAAATAAATAAATCAATAAATTTAATCAGGTACAAAACTTGCAAACAAAATGGGAAATGTTAGATATAGAAACCTATGGGTAGAACAGAACAGTCCTGATCTTAAATGGCTAAAACTTTTTACCTCATTATTGCTTCATTAAACCAGCTTTTTAGTGCCCAATTTTCCAGCAGGAGATGAATAATGAATTTAATAAAAATGATAATGAAGGGAAATTATCCCAGACTGAATTCCTGGTCCAGATGAAAATTTCTTTCTCTGAGCACCAGAAAACAGGTTTGTAGCCCAGGCCGTGTCTGGGTTTTCAGAATGGGGCCCTCGATCTTCCGCAACAATGGTAGTCCCTGTTAAGAGGCCATTCCTCAGACTTACCCAGACTTACTAGATCAATCTCTAAGGGGAACCCTAATAATATGCAATTTTAACAACCACCTCAGGTGATTTTTATGCATGCTCAGATTATACACTCACTGCTTCAGAATCTAAGGAAACTTGCCAAGAGGGTGTGAAGAATGTTGACACCTTGCATTAGGGAACAGTCTATATTTCTATTATAGAATAATTATTTTACTTAAATAAAAAGTATATAACCTAAAATCTTCTCTTCACTGCAACATCATTCAAAATCTTCCCATCAATTCAGGTAATTATTACCCCTTCCCATCACTAAAATAATATATCCTATAAATAACAAAAAATTATGATTAAGGTGGTAGGAATGAACATTTGATGTGTTTTAGGATTCCATCTGGTGACTTTATCTTCCTCTTCTGGGCCTCTCTCTGATATTCTTGATATTCTATGATATTTTGGCAAAATGCTGCTTCTCTCTTTCCCGGATGCATGGCCACTCAGCTGGTGACTACATTTTCCAACCTCATTTACAGCCACAGGTGGTCATATGACCAAGTTTGAGCCAATGGAGTGTGATTGAAAGATGTATACAATTTCCAAATCATCCCTAACTTAAGTCAGGCTGGTCTCTCTGGAATTTGGCTTTTCTCACATTCTGTAAATTGCATCAAGGAAACGAGAAAGTGGCTTCAATCGTGCAGAAAAAGACCATGTCCAAAGAGGTGGAATAACAAAATGGAAGGAACTTAGTTCTTGATTAACCCTAATGAAAAGAGATTAATCCACCAGCTTAGACAGGCTGGATTGTTACATGAAGGAAAAATTAGCTCCCATATTATTTAAGCCACTAGATTTTTGCCTTCTCTTTGCTATAGCATCTCAGCCTTTACCCTAACAAACACTAAAAACTACCCTTAGCCAATTACCACTTAAAGCCACCCATTAAATCAGATTTCTGAATCCTTTAAGTCAGTGTCATATTTATCCTCCCTAACAGACACTATATTTACATGGACCCTATAGAGCACATAAGGGGACTATAAAAAAAATTCTAAGACATAAGCAAATGCAGAAGGTCACTATGCATGTAGGTAAAACCCAGATTTATGAGGCTAGTATAATTTATGAGGCAGCTTTGTGGCTGCCTCAGCTATGGCCAGTCTTTGTATCCCATTGGAATATATTCCTTTCAAGCATCTCAACAAAGAGCACACTTTTTTCAGTGTTTAAAAAACGTATTTGGTTTCGGGACGCCTGGGTGGCTCAGTCATTGGGCGTCTGCCTTCAGCTCAGGTCATGATCCCAAGGTCCTGGGATTGAGTCCCACATCGGGCTCCTTGCTCAGTGAGGAGCCTGCTTCTCCCTCTCCCTCTACTGCTCCCCCTGCTTGTGCTCTCTCTCTCTCTCTCTCTGACAAATAAATAAATAAAAATCTTAAAAAACAAAAGTATTTGGTTTCTTGTACAAAATATAAATTGATTTAAGGTGTTTAAGAAAGGATTTTCGGGTGTTGAAAGAGGTAAGTCATTGAGTAGACTCTTCAATTTGCTATTAAAAAAAGTCAGGTATAAATTGAATGCTCTCAATTTAGTAAATAACACACATAAAAAAAGTGGTTCTGAGTTTTTACATGTTTGACTTAAAACAATTGAACTTGTGCATTATATAAAGATGCCCTTAAACTATGTTTCATGTCTTGAATTCAGACTTTCTTAAGACATCTGGAAAACCAACATTTCATACTGCTCATACTACCTGCCCCAACACTGTATTTGATTTTGCCACATTTGACCCCAAAACAGACTCAAATATGTAACTGAGTGCTGCCTGTAAATATATTTACACAGAAAAAATACATGAAAATGTCATTAGTGAGTTAGAGGACTACATTACCACTTACCCTGATTTATGAGATTACAGACTATTTTTACGTTCCTCTCTTCTTTGTCTATTTCTGCATTTTCGAAACTATATATAATGAGCTTCTAGTTTTATAATAAAGAGGAAAAAGATTTATAGGATCTCACTACTGTAGCAGGATTTCTCGTTCTCTTTCCGTATCTTCTCAGTTCCTACTGCACTGCCTCACACATAATATATGCTCAGTAAATAAATGCAAGAGAAGGAAGAAAGGGGGGGAAAAAAGGAAGAATGAAATGGAAAAGGAGAAATCTGCTAGGTACCATCTGTTTGCCCCTCCAGATTCACTCTCCACCCTCCTTTGAACCCGAAGACTGACCAGCATGAACTGCCTTGGTGAGCTCCTTGTGCTCTGGTTTCCAGTTGGCTTTGGCCAAGGAGATGCATTGGCAGATCAGAGGTGTGGAATAAATAGCTATTTATTCCTTGGGGCAGCTCCCTGTGGGTCACTGCAGGCTGCTGTCCCCCTCAACCAACCAGACCCAAGACCCTTCCCACACAGAGCACTGCCCCCTCTCTCCCTTCGGATCTTGGGGTGGCAATGTGCCTCACTTTAACTAGATGCAAGGGGCTGCACTCTCTTTTGCCCCGTTTTTACATCTTGTCCAGCCCTTTATAAATAGTCCCTTTATGAGATGCTCCTCAAAGTGTCCAAACTGGATGTACCATTTATGTATTGCCAAGACCCAGACTGATACAGACTCTGTTGGTGACAAAGAACCCAACAAGTTCTGTCCTCCAGGAACTAATCTTGAAGGATTCAGAAAAATGTTTTTAAAAAAATCACCAGGTATTGCTCATTTCAAAGGTTTAAACAAGGGGCGCCTGGGTGGCTGTCGTTAAGCCTCTGACTTTGGCTCAGGTCAGGATCCCAGAGTCCTGGGATCGAGCCCCACATCAGGCTCCCTGCTCAGGGGGAAGCCTGCTTCTCCCTCTTCCACTCTGCCTGCTTGTGTTCCCTCTCTCGCTGTGTCTCTCTCTGTCAAATAAATAAATAAAATCTTTAAAAAAAAAAAAGGTTTAAACAACAAAAAGATTATTCTCATTGAGGAACTCTAGTTTTACACCAAAGATTTTGTAGTTAAGAACTAGTTATTATGCTTTTTCTCTTGAAAAGATAAAAAATCTACATGCATAGTCCTTTCTTTCTTCATCCTTACAATAACTTTAGAGATTTAACACCCTCTAAATACTCAATATTAATTGTTTAAAACATTCATAAATGAAGGATGCCTATTGTAGTATGAGAATGTTCTCAGAAATTAGTTATTCCTTTGCAAAGATCATTTTTCATCTATTTATCAATATGATATTTTTCCCTTGGAGTCCTTGAAGGTGAAAAATTTTAACCCAGAAAAGACAACGTGGGGCTATTTTAGTACTTAAAATTAGTATTAATTTTATAAAAGTTGTAAATTCAAAAACCAGAGGTCTTGATCCACTTTATAAATCTTTTTATTTCTACACCTAGCGAATTTTAACATCAACCTTTACGTGGCCCTTTATTAATATTTGCTATTATTTACACAATTAAACTTCCCTTGAATTTTCTAAATTTAATATATTCCTTTTATTTATGCTTGTAACTGGCAGAACTTATTGAAATGTTTAGGACAGTAATGAATCTAATATAGTAAAATTGTAAAATTTTGTGAATCTTATGTTCTCTTAAACATTGCAATGCTTTTTACAAGCTTTATAACTCTAAAATTAAAAATTCAATTATACATTTTTAAGTTGAAATCATGAGGATATCAGATCTTTTAATAAGCCAAATTACCTTAACTATTACAAGTACTTAATTTATTTATTTATTTTTAAAGATTTTATTTATTTATTTGAGAGGGAGAATGAGAGATAGAGAGAGCATGAGAGGGGGGAGGGTCAGAGGGAGAAGCAGACTCCCTGCTGAGCAGGGAGCCTGATGCGGGACTCGATCCTGGGACTCCAGGATCATAACCTGAGCCGAAGGCAGTCGCTTAACCAACTGAGCCACCCAGGCGCCCTATTACAAGTACTTTAAATATAAAACATACACAAATCATACCCAAGTTAATGCAAAATAATTTATTTCATTGGTTTTTAGCTCATTATGTAAGGGTCAGATGAGAGATTTACATCATCAAAGCAAATTCGAGCTGTTATCACATGTAAATTGATTTAAACATCCCAAACAAACAAGATCATCTGCTTAGTGGCTGATATTGAACCAAAAAGCTTTGACTAAGACACCTTTGGAGCAGCCGACATCTAGAGCCGTTTTTCTTGCAACACTGAGGCTGCCTGAACCTTACTTTATGGGGTGGTCTCAACAGCCCCAGTCCTCGGATTCAGGTTATATACTACCTAATACTTAAGATTGGGTTCAGTTAATTTATTTACTCCTTGATTCTATTCTTAATTCTTTTCATATTTTTCCTTTTGGTAGACACAATTCTTATAGATATTTTAATGATACCAGTTAGGCTGTGCATATCTTTTTTTTTTTTTTTCTGTCATGCTAATGATAGGAGTCTCTTACCATCACTGCCACTCTTCTTTAGGTAGCCGTATGATAGCAATGGCCTGGGTGAAGGATTTGTTTCATATTAAGCACTTTAATGTTTCCCTGCCCTCTTGGGCCCTGCTCCTGGATTGTATGACTTAGCCTGTGAAGGACTGGTCCTACATGACTTGGGCTGAGTGGGTCTGGGCTGAGAAGGCTTAGATTGGGAGGCCTGGGGTGGGCATGGCTTGGGCTGAGTGGGTCTGGGCTGAGAAGGCTTAGATTGGGAGGCCTGGGGTGGGCATGGCTTGGGCTGAGTGGGTCTGGGTGGAGAGGGTTTAGCTTGGGAGGGCTGGGGTTGAGTGGGTTTGGGTGGGAAGGGTTTAGCTTGGGAGGACCAGGGCTGAGTGGGTTTTGTGTGAGTGGGTTTGGGTTGAGAGGGCAAAGGTTGGGATTGCTTGAACTGGGATGGTTTGGGCTGGTTGGATGTGAATTGGGAGCTGGGTAAACATCTGCTGTTGGACCTGGGATAGGATCCCATTTGGAAAGCTGGATTTGAAGTCCCATCCTGTGTTTTCAGTTTGGCTCCTTGCTGAGAAGCAGGTCTTACAGGTTTTTGTATGGCTCCTGCTGGTTGAAAGGCCTGGGGGTAAAGATCTTCAATATGGGATATTGTTTTCATAAGCTTCCCAGTTGCCCTAGTTGGCTGTGTTCTCTGGGTATAGGCTTGCTTAGGCTGTGGCTTCCCAGCTGTTCCTGTTGGCTGCAAACTCAGGGAATGTAAGTGACCTAAGTGGGAGACCACTGCCCCAGATCTTTCAAGAACTCCCATTGTCTGTGGTCTCTCAGGCCAGGCCTGCACATGCTGAGACATAGGTCTTGGTGGTCTCCCAAATGTTTTATCCGTGCGATATCCCCAAGCAGTTCTTGAAAATTTCATAAATCTTTCAGGTGAATAAAATCTCTGGGGTCGGAAGTCCTGAAACTTAAAACTTTTACCTCGACCATAGCCCCATGTTTTCTGAAAGGGCCAGGGATGGAACCACTTAGACCTTTGCTCTGACCAAAAATGGGAGCCCATAACCCAGGGGGCTTTCAAAGAAACATGGTTAAAGTCACCTCCAGTTCTGGTTGGTAAAGGATAGGAGTTTTCCAGATGTGGCATGAATACTGGGGTGTGGTGGAAATTCTGAAGATTCCAGCTAGCCCCAGGCTCTCTTACAGGCGTCTCAGATGGGCTTTCAGAGGAGCTTTCTGGCTGACTGTATCTTTGTTGTCTCTCCTCTTTAGCTTTTCCAGCCAGGTTTTCACTAGGGGAACTGTGAATTCCCTGAACATTCTCAAAGTCTTGGTCTACCTGGATTCCCAACTCCCTGGCCAGGGAGCCCATGTCCTCCATGGACACACATCTGAGTGAAGAGGACATCACTTCCTGCAGAGCTGCTTGAAGACCCTCCATATTCCTCCCTCTCTCCCCAGCTTCCTCCCCCTCCCAAAATAGTAGCTGTGATGGCTTCAACTTTAGAATCCTCTGGAAAAGCTGAGCCTCTTCACTCTCCTGGGCCTGGGAACTGAGGACAAAGTAGAATCTTTTAGTGGCAGCTTCTCCTAAAAACATTAGCAAGTCCCACTCCTTCTCACCTATGTAGTCAGTGAAAAAAAATACAGCTGAGGAAACTTCCACCAAAAAACCAAACTGTGTCCAAAAACTTTCTAAGTCTCCACGGAGGTTGGCCAGAGCAACAGGTTTTTGGAAAAAACTAGGGTTTTCCTCTAAACTATCGCTCTCAGGAAAATGCCACATTATCTCAACCAGGCCATCGGAGATTTGCCGGGGAAGCACAGGGACAGTAAAATCCTGATGGAGAAAGATTCTGTGTGATTGTCCTGGTTGGGCAGGACCAAGCAGTCTGTTAAGGATTCTGGACTTGGAGAAGCTACAGTATCCTAGGCGCACAAAAGAGATGACAGGCATCTTTGGAAACGTTTCTGTGTCCCCTGTAGGCCCTCCTGAAGACTGTGTTGACCACTTTTTCACAGTGTCCTTCATGGCCCCTAGCATTAAGATACTTTTGTTGTTTTCTGCATCTGGCAGGAGCAGGGGAAGAGCAAACCGGCACTGATACATGTTTGACATGACTTCACGCTGCAACGAGCTGTCTGAGCAGAGCATAGAGGCACAAAGAACATCAAAGGGATGAATGGTTTGTATGTCCCTGATTTCCAAATTCTCTACTCCAGTCAGCAATTCCTCTTTGCCATCCTCACCCGGAACCTTGTGTCTGAGGATTGTATCTCTGGCTGTCACATCCAGAGCTTGAACTTTCATCAGGAAATTCCAGGCTAAGTCTCCTGGACTCTCAGGGGTCCACATACAACCTCGATCTAAGGAGAATTGTTTGACAACATCTGGCAGAACCTTTCTGCTCCTATCCATGTTCAAACATGACAGGACATCTTTAAACATGTTTTTTCTTTCTGTAGGGAAGAAGATACACAGTGAATGTCACATTCAGAGTCTAAGCTTCCTTCATGGAGTTTTAAAATTAAATAAGTAATTGACATTTTCATTGTGAAAAGATGGAACACAAAGTGAAATTGCCCTTTCTCCACTCTGCCAATTCCACTTTTCTTCCAAGAGATGTCAACATGTTACGAATGTTTGCTTCCTAACCTTATTATGTACAAGTACATAAGTATGCATGCATATAGAGAAATATATCTTTTGGTTTAGTGGATGCTATTTTATTTTTACATAAATGATATTATACTAAACAAATGATTCTTCAACTTCTTTTCACTTAATGTTATTCTTTGCAAATTCTTCCAAATCAGTTTATACAGACTGACTTAATTCAATTTAGCTAATCCATCATATTTCATGATTTAGATGGACCATTACTTATTTAACCATTGTCAACTGATGATCATTTAGGTTTTCCAATTTTTTGACTAACGTTTATATGCAGCAATGAAAAACATTGTTAATGCTTTATGATATACATGTGTGAGGAATTTTCTAGGTTGATACTGTTTTCTTTCTTAAATGTATCTCTTGCTAAAGTTTGGAGAAATGGAAGATTTTATTTCCATTAAACATTTCTCAGAATTTATGTGTTGTACCTAATTTCTCCTGATCTCCCATTTTCTAATATACCTCCTAACCACTTCTTGGGAATACAGAAATAGTGCTTAGTAGAGAAAGAAGACCAGAGAGCATTTTCTACTTCTGGTAGATGGCAAACTAGCATGAGATTCTTGGGTCCCCTATAAAAATAACCTGGAAGAGGGGTGCCTGGGTGGCTCACTCAGTTAAGCATCCAACTCTTGATTTCAGCTCAGGTCATGATCTCAGGGTTGTGGGATCGAGCCCTGTGTTGGGCTGTGCACTCAGCAGGGAGTCTACTTGAGATTCTCTCTCTCCCTCTCCCTCTGCTCCTCTTCCTGCTCTCTCTCTTTCTCAAATAAATATATCTTTAAAAAAAAAAACCTGGAAGAAACAACAGAAGTGAGCAAAAAGTATGGATTTTAAGAATTAACAAAGGTAACTCTAAGAAATCCTTGGGCAGTCTAAAAGTTGCTTGAATTAGAATATGTTTTGGGGTAAAGGTGAGGGAAGAGTTGAGGCTAGCAAAATGGATTCCCAGAGGAGGCAGTGAGAGGATAGGTTGCAGGAAAGCTTTTAGGTCCTGCTCTTGCCTTTCACTTATTTTGTCTTTGGACAACAACCCACTATTTCTTCAGCACAAAAACCAGGACTCACACAGCCCAGGCCAAAATGTCTACTCTTGACAAGGTAATAACAGGGTTACTATAGAGCTTATTTGGGATACCACCAAAAAGCAACAGAGTAAATCTTATACACAGCAACAATGATACAATCAATAAGCACAGAGCTGGATAAAAAGAAAAAGTTAAGAAGCAATAATATCTAGAACCCAATACATTTTTATAAATTTAAAATTCATGAAAATAGCCCAGCTAAGGCAAAAAGAAATGATCAGAGATTTTAGCTGCCACCCACTGAAAGGAGAATTTCGAATTTGAGTCCAGTTAGGTTAATTGGAAACTAAAACAGATTAAAAAAAAATAAATCTCTTTGGAGATATTTAACAATTTAGAGGGGCACCTGGGTGGTTCAGTCAGTTAAGCATCTGCCTTGGGCTCAGGTCATGATCTCAGTGTCCTGGGATTGAGCGCTGCATTGGGTTCCCTGCTCCACAGGGAGCCTGCCTCACCCCCTCCCTCTGTCTGCTGCTCCCCCTGCTTGTGCGCTTTCTCTCTCTGTCAAATGAATAAATAAAATCTTAAAAAAAACCCCAAAACTTTAGTCTTAGAAAGAGGCTTGTAGTCTCAGAGAGGAGGGAGAAACTGGGACAGAAAAAAATATTTGGATAAATAGTGGCTGAAGATTTTCCAAATTTGGTTTAAAAAAATGTTTTACAGATTCACAAAACTCTCTAAACCCTAACGAGGATGAAAACAAAATGGCTAAAAAAAAATTTAAGAAAAAAAATCTTGAAATCACCCAGAATAAAAATGACACTTATAGGAAACAATGAAAGAAAAAAAAAAACCTGCAGGCTTAGCATCAGAAACAATGGAAGCCAAAAAACAAAGGAATGGCATCCATAAAGTGCTGAAGGCAGAAAAATTGCCAATCTCTAATTCTATACCTAGCAAAAATATCCTTCTGGAATGAAAGCAAAATAAAGACATTTTTCAATAAACAAAACCTAAGAAAATTTCCCCCAGCAGACCTGCACTAAAAGAAATAATAAATAAAATTCTTCAGACTAAAGGGAAACAGCATCACATTAAAACTTAGACCTTCAGGGGCACCTGGGTGGCTCAGTCGTTAAGCGTCTGCCTTCGGCTCAGGTCATGATCCCGGGGTCCTGGGATCAAGCCCCGCATCAGGCTCCCTGCTCAGCAGGAAGCCTGCTTCTCCCTCTCCCACTCCCTCTGCTTGTGTTCCTGCTCTTGCTGTCTCACTGTGTGTGTCAAATAAATAAATAAAATCTTAAAAAAAAAAACTTAGACCTTCAGGAAGAGAGAAAGGGCGCAGGAAATGGTAAATCTATGGGTTCCTCCCACTGGATGAACTCAAGTATAAGCTGGAAGGGAAGGGAGTAGATTGATACAGTCTATATACAAGTTGACCTTATATGGTAGAGAACACATAGAGCAACACCATAGCCTTCCTGAGACTTAGATTCGACACTGATATTTTTTTGTCATGAAATTTAACATAACAAAAAGCATGACGACTCTTCTCCTTTGAATCAGATTAATTTGGATTTTTTTTCAGTTCCTAGCTACATAGATAAATAAATATTACAGAGGAAAGAGACAGAGGATGGCCACATGTCTCCAGTCAACTAGAGTGGATTGGTTAGCTATTAGAATTACATTACAAGTCATAACTACATTATTACTGAAACTTTTCTTTTCTTTCTTTTTTTTTTTTAAGATTTTTTAATTCATTTGACAGAGAGAGACACAGCGAGAGAGGGAACACCAGCAGGGGGAGTGGGAGAGGAAGAAGCAGGCTTCCTGCTGAGCAGGGAGGGGCTTGATCCCAGGACCCTGAGATCATGACCTGAGCCAAAGGCAGACGCTTAACGATTGAGCCACCCAAGTGCCCCTTACTGAAACTTTTCTTGGCCTGTTTTCCTAAAGGTGTTAGATTGGTCGCAAAAATTAGCCCCAATTAATGGCTTTCTGGATATATTTTGGCTTTCTGCAATATTACTTTGTAAGAAGAAGATGTGGTATATATATACAATGGAATATTATGCAGCCATCAAAAGGAATGAAATATTGCCATTTGCAACAACGTGGATGGAACTGGAGGGTATTATGCTGAGCAAAATAAGTCAATCAGAGAAAGACATATATCATATGACCTCACTGATATGAGGAATTCTTAATCTCAGGAAACAAACTGAGGGTTGCTGGAGTGGTGGGGGGTGGGAGGGATGAGGTG